TTATCTTTTCTCTTGTTTTACAGCCAGCTAGACCACACAGCCTTCCTTCTCATGGCCATTTCAAAATAGTAATTAATTTTTTACTTACCACCTGGATCAATATCTGAACACAAAATTTTCTCTGGACAAAGTCACTGAAATTATCTTCTGAGTGGTTGATTCAAAACATGTTTTTATTTCATCTTCACGGATATCTTAATGGTCTCTTTCTTATTAGTGGAAAGTAAGAGAAGGGTGGGAAGTCTTGGGTTTGTTCAATCTTACTGAATTTCGTCTAGTTAAATCTGGATATGATTCTCCTTTGAATTATCACAAAACAATTTTTCAACGCATTTTACTTTTAATTTTCTTAACTTCTCAATCCATCTTTCTGCAATTTCAACGATCATCATCCAGTTAGTAGACTCTCTTCTTTTCCTTCTTTCTTTTTTGTTCGATCAACCTCTAGAAATCTCAGTGTCACATATTTTCTTCATCTCTCTTCAACTTTATTTTTCAATTTCCAATATTGTGTTCACATTACTAAATGATTTTGCAATTTCTCATTTCTCTTTTAAAGTTATAACTTTCTTACAGCTAAAATAGCAATCCTTATATATTTAAAATGAAAAAATAGATAGCAATAACCTAACATCTCAATTTCTACCAATTTCCCAGACATAACGTAGCTTCTTTGTGTCTTTTTTTATAAATACTTTCATGGTAATTGTTTTGATGAACTTTTCCCTATGGTACTTAGACTTTATGAATTTAAGTGCAGTACTAGATTGGCAGCAAGGTCCCATCATCTTACAGTTGAAATGATTAGATATAACCATAAGTTCTATGTTAATTGTTTCTTCTATAACACTTCTCGCTTGTGGAGCTCTATTCCAGCTTCTTGCTTCCCAGTCAACTTTGATCTTCAAATATTTAAATGTAATGTCAATCGTTATTTTCTGTCTTAATTCCTGTTCTTTTATTATTTGCTCTCCTTACTAGGATTTTTTCTCATGCTCTCTAACACTCAGTAACTCCTAGCATCTTTGTGGCTTTATTGCCTTGCTTGGGGTGAAATGATTAAAAAGAATATATATATATATATATATATATATATATATATATATATATATATATATATATATATATAGTTGCATAATAAAATATCACACAGCCAGATACATTATTGTAATTATTTTGCATGAGATATCTATATAATACTAAAAGTCTGTGATTTGTGCTTGCATGATGCGTCATCCAGCCGGTGCATAGTAATGATTTAAGTTCTCTCTCTTTCCACCTTTCTGCAGGCATGCTTATTTCAGCTTTCTTTAAACTAGGTACCTCCAGAAGATCACTAAAAAATTAGCATATTGGGATGAAAACATGCTCCAAACATAACAAAAAAACATAGTTTTATTGTCAAAATCATTATATTATTATTAAGAGAAAGGATCAAAGTATTTTTTGATTAGTTAATTAAATTTTTTACTCTTTTTTTTTTTTTTTTTTTTTTTTAGAACATTTGAAATTTTGATTAAAAAACGTTTTTTTTTTTTTTTGCATCAGCCATTGTATTAACTTTTAGCATAGCAAATTTTCACCTCCTTTTTGCAGACACATTAATTTGAAAATTCTTGCAAAAATCAAATAATTGTTATATTGTAATTAAATTTTCAGAACTTATTCACAAATGAAGAAAATTATTTTAGAAAATTTAGAAAATCTTGGTAAAAATATTTTTTATGTTTCTACATGTTTTTACATGTTTCTCCCCCTTACTTAATTCTATGAAAGCTTAATAAATTCATTAAGATAATTTTTAATGGTTATATTAGTTAAAAGCAGAATTTTTTGAAGAATTTAAATCACCGATTTTTTTTTTTTTTTTTTTTTTTTTTTTATTTATTTATTTATTGCAAAATTGGACCAGGTCTTACTGAAAATCAGTTTTGAATTGAAAAATAAAAAACTCTATAAAATTAAAACATTATTTAATTAGATAAGCTTTTAATTGCCTTTTATACTGAAGAAAAAAAATTTTTCAATGAAAAATGAATTTTTACAAGATTTGTTTTCAATTTTTATAATTTAAAACTGAATAATTTATATAAAGTTTTGAATTTTTAAAGTTCAATTTCCAGGAGATAATTCTTAGGGAATATTGTTATTAAGTAAAATTATATTTACTAATAATATATTCTAAGGCATATTACAATCTGAAGACCCCAACTATTTTTAACAGAATTTCAATTTGTTTTTATATATGTATATAGATGCAGAATTTCTGATGATTGGATGTACAAACTGATAAATCTATTCTTAAAAGGTCACATGTTTTAAAGTTGTCCCCCTTTACAGAAAAACAAAAAAAACAAAACCCTAATGAAATTTATCATCTGCTATACACATTCAGTGCCCAATTTGCTATGAATAAATTGATTAAGACATCAGAAAAACAAGACCCCCATAGTCAGGAAATGCTTGTATACAATATTTTATGCTATAAGTAAATAATATTTCTTTAAAATCAGATTAACTTTAACTTTGCCTCAAATAACATTTCAGAAATATATATTTTATTTTTGCAAGAATTTTAAAATAGAAAATAAAGTTTTGTTTACAAATCTCTAAAAAATTGACATGATAGATTTTATTGGGGGGGAAAAAATGTAAGTCTATTCTAATCAATATAATTTCTGTCTGAAATACACCAAAGTATTTTGCTTACTGGGTATAGTAAATTTAATCCTTTAGCTTTCATTTAAAGCTAAATTGAAAGTTTCAGGAAAGCTTTTTCATTTTAAAAATTAATTTTAAACCTTATGCATACCCAATTTTAAACAAACAATATTTTAAATATTTAAAAAATGTTTTTTGCCATATTGAAAAAATATTTTCAAGTGAATGATTTTAGAATATTTTTTGGCATATTAAGAAAATATTTTTAAGTTAATCTGATTTAAAAGTGAATAAGATTTAAAAATATGAATTGTTTATACAGTAAGTATTTTTAGACAATTTTTTTTAATGTTGAAATCAACTTCAATGTTTTATAACCTGAACTGTCAGTGATCCATTGGGTCATGGATAGTCTAGTTTATCATAAATTTAATCTGAAAATTTGACTAACATCAATATTATTTTATGGGGGGAAAACATTGTCTTACATGATAAAATCTGGCATTTTCACCAGAAAATCAACATCCTATTTTAAAAATGTAATTAAAAATTTTAATACTTTCTTGGAACAATTTTTCTGATCATCTTCCACCAAGGTGGAGAAATGTTCCAGTTAATGGTCATCTGATGACTTCAACTTTGATAGCTTTGTGGGCATTTCAAATGATTGTTTTTTATTTATTTTTATATTTTACTCTTTTTGAAAAGTACTTTGTTGACTGGGTGAACTGTGGTTACAGGGTTCACTGCCAACAGAAAACCAGAATTATCAGACAATTGACAAAATAATCCATTTTTTTTTTTTTTTTTTTTTCAGGCAGTTATCAAAGAATTTTGTCAGGAAAGTCAGTGAATGTTCTTATGCAACTTGACATCAAATGATGTGTTTATTAAATGCATTTTTAGATTGAAAATTGTTTGGAAATAAATTTTAAATGCTATTTATGTGTTTCTTTGTCCATTCATCTTTTTAGCTGTGATCAAGCATAGCTATATAGTTATTCTGTCTGCTATATGAAGTCCCAAAATCAAGGAATTGGAGTGAAATTTCTCAGGGAAATCGGGGAATTATCTGGTAATTTTATTCAATGATTAAGCAAGAAACTTAGGGTTAAGTGAGGCCAATTCATGATCCGTATATGGTGAAGTCCTATTGTATATACTTTTATGTATGCTATACATATAAGACTAGATATGTCAGTATACTCAAACCCTTGATCATTACTTGTGAGTTCATGCTGGCACAACCATCAATGGTTTTGCTTATTGAAGATTCACTTACAAGCCTGTGGTATGGTTTTTAGGCACTTTCCAAAGGTGCTGCATGCTGGGATTGCCTCCTCAGGCTTATATTATCAAGAAATCCCTACACAAATGGTTTATTATAAATTTAGGAATATGTTTGATCCTTTTTGATTTGGATTTACTTTCAAAAATTCAAAAAAGATTCCTTTATTATAGCATTTTAATATTTTCTTGATCACAATTTTTTTTAGCTATTTATGAAATCGTGTTGTCTTTTACATTCATTTTCGGCAAAGGCATGAATCTCTCTCTTCTCCCTCCAGCTATGTGCTTAAATAGCAGAGTAGACTGGGCTTTCTAACTTTGGATGGCAACCATTTTAAAAGAAAGAAAACTCTGAATTCCAAACAATGGAGAAGGCAACAGAAAACTACTCCACTATCCTTCCCAAGAATGTGTGGCAATTCATGGAAAATAAAGAAATATGTGGAGAGTCATGATCCCTTACATCTTAAAAGGAGATGGCATTTAAAAAAATAAAATAAAACTTTATTTTTTCTTCTTTTTTTTTTTTTTTTCTTTAAATGATTATTACTGGATTTTATGGTGGGCATTCATGGGTTAATACCAGCAATCGATACCTGCATGTCTTTTAAAAGCCATTATAAAAGTTAAATGAAATCTAACAAAATATCATTGCAACATTAATGTCTCTCATAAATTGGTCACAGAAATTTAAAGTACTTTTTCATAATCTCGTTCTGGCTATCCAAGGAGCTGAGCCAATTGCCAAATTGGAATATAAATATCTTTTTGAATTCTGTTTTTTTATTACCCTTTCTCAATAACATTTTCTAAATTTCCCTCTCTCGGTAACACCATGCATCTTAGTGTCTTTATCATCTTGCTTGGTGTGAAATGATTAAAAAAAAGGAAATATTTCTACAATATGGATAATGGCTATATGAAATATATTCAATTGTTAATATGTATATATATTTTTACTTTGCCAGCAAACAAGACATAGTAAACACAAGTTTTAAATCCTGTTTTCATTAACATTAGCAGATACTTAATTTTATATCTTGTTTCAGCTCTCCTGTTGACACTGATGGTTCAGTCAGCTTGTATAGAAGAAATGGATCTCTTGAGGCCGTACTCAGATTACCACGATCACATTCCAAATTATACAGGTAAACATTATTTTTTTTTTTCTGTTCATTCAATCTCTTGGATGTCTTTTATCAAGAATAAATAGGTGGAGATTTCTTTCCTTTAGACACAGAAAATAGTTTTTTAGTGAAATTGCTAATTTTTTAAGTTCTACTTGTTCATCATTTCAAGTTAGTTCTGTCATTTGGAGTTTGAATTTGATGTATTTTCAGAAAGTCTTGAGTTAATTTTTATTATTAAATCTATTACAATCTATTAAACTATTAAAATATATTAAATCTATTAAACCTGTTAAACACTAGAATTTAGTGGTTCATCTTTCTATGTTCTAATGATTTTTTTTTTCTCCAAAGGCTAAATTCTTTATTAAAACCCAAAACAAACAACTCTCCATCAAACCAATTTTAAAGCAAAAAGAAAATGCATGAATATTGAAAAAAGATTGAAATGGAGACATATTGAAAGTGACTCTTAAAAGAAGCAGGTGGTATGAGTCATATAAAGTGACAACTTTTTGATCAACTGTCATCAGAGGGGATCGTTGATAAACCTAAGTTGGCCAAATATTTGTCTCTTTTTTTTTTCCCTTTGAGATGACAAATAAAGTCTACTTTTCAATTGTTTCACTGCATTTTTTATGGTAATTCTATTTTATGGTTCACTATTTTAAATATTTATCAACAATCCCTTCTCATGAGAATTGATCGAAAAACTAGTTGCTTTAGAGGAATCATACCACCTGTTTCACTTGACAGATAATTTCAACATTTTTCAACCTATATTTTGTATAGCTTTTGTATGTTTAAAAAAAATCTATGAATATTGAAATATATATATATATATATATATATATATATATATATTTTTTTTTTTTTCAATGATTTTAAGATCTTGAATACAAGGCTAAATTTAAAAAAAAAAAGCTGTTAATTCTTACATAGAATCAAAATTTACAAAGATCAGTAGAGATTCTTTCAAATATATCTGTCACCCACTTTTCTTTCATCAGCTTTTCTTTCATTTTTCTCTAGCTCTTTTGCTTACCCATTCCTCTTTCATGCTTTCTTTCTCCGTCTTCAATTGTCCTTCGTATGATGATAACTATATCCAGCAGCAAGACCTCTAATTGGGAGATTGGAGGTTTTAAGGATCCTGAAACCACCCATTAATTGCTGTTTTTCTAGGTCCGCCCTAACTCAGGGTGGTAGCACCTGTTAGGGTCCCAGTTATGGGCAAATAGTGAACTCCAAACAAAAGTCAGTACATTTTTATAATAAAATGAGCAACCATACACTTTTATAGCAAAATGACAATCAATGCAGCACTAAAAAAAGACAAAACAAAAATACATTTTTAAAGTAAAACTAACAATGCATTTTATGATCTACAAACTATATATCTAATAAAAACATACCTTTACTCAAAAAGTATAAAAAATTATGTACAAAATATATTCAGTTGAAGCCATAAAATTGCATTCAAAGTATTTAGATTTCGGCATTAAATAACCTATAGAAGTTGATATGCCACTAAACAAAATCAACAAACCTCCTTCTCAACCTTACTTTTCCCAATTTTGGTTCTGGCAATGAACAGATAAGCAGTTGATGATTATATTCAGTATGTGTAACACTTTTCCCAGAATGCAACAGATATTATATTGATTATAAATAGCAGTACCAGGAAATGACACTTTGATCTTATGTAGAAATGTTGATTCTTGTGTAAATAATACCATTATTTTTTATGGGTACTATGCTAGTAAAAATAATAAATTGATAAAATAAACATCATGTATATGCATTTTTGGACATAGACAGTTATAGTGATTTACTAAGCATAGCTTAGGTGCAGAACAAAGCCAAAAGTATGGAACACCCAGTGTGGCTTGAAGTCACTACTCAATTGTAATTGATCTAACAAGATGAGCTTGCTAACCACAAAATACGGAACACATTATGAATTTGCATGTCATCCTTGCGCAGCAGTCATGCTAATCTTCTCTGTATTATTGCAATTTTAATATACATACTGCCAAAGTAAGTACAAAAAAACGGACAGTTACAGTAAGAGATAAAATATGTGTTTCTACACACGCAAACAAACACATGCATATAGGCACAGTGGAGTAATAGATAAAGGCTCAGATTGAGGAATCGGAGAGCTGAGTTTGAATTCCTGTTGAGTTCATTACATTCACTTACATGCTAATACCCTTAGGAAAGGTATGAATCCATCTCTTCTTCTTCCCCCACCTAAGGGTAAATAGCAGGACAGACTGGGTCATATAGCCTTGGGCGGTGAACAGTCTAGGAGAAGGACAACTCTAAATTCAAAACCTGTGGATGGTTGTTTGGGGACCTTGTGGCATACTGTGCACCAGTTCTCTGTATTCAGCTCTTCCAAAAAGTGTGGTTGGTTCTGCACAAGCTTTCACCACTGTAATCAAATGATCTGGCTGTTGGTTCTAAGAATTGACCCTCATACATCGAAATCTATGGGAGAGTCTAATATATATATATATATATATATATATATATAAAATATATATACTAGACTCTCCCATCATTTAAACTGTATCTATTAAATAACATATAAACAGAAAATATATTGAATAATTGTCAGGCTTAATCCATTTCATTTTATATATATAATGAAATGGATTAAGTTTGATAATTATTTATTTAATATATATATATATATATATATATATATATATATATATATATATATATATATATAGTGTATGTATAATGGACAATCCTGTTATTTTTTTATACATGAGGATTCAGCAGTTCAGTTCTTAGAACCAATCATCCAGACTACTTGCACATATTGATTAAAGTGATGAAGGCTTGTGCTCAACCAACCACACATTTCAGAAGAACAAAATACAAAGAACTGGAATGCATAATAGACAACAAGGTTTCCAAACAATCCTCCTCAGGGTTTTAATTCTTATAGACTGGTTGCCAACCAAAGCTAATGAGCCTAATCTTTCCTATTATTTAACCCATAGCTGAGAGGAGAAGATGGATTCATACCTTTCCCAAGGGAATTTCTGGATAAGTAAATGTAATGAACTCTACTGAAATTCAAACTTGACTCTTTCAATTTCTCATTCCATGCTGCTATCCATTGTACCCTTATATATATATATATATATATATATATATATATATATATAAAAAAAGAAGAGAACAGAGGTGCTGCAAACGTTTTTGGTTGTAATGTGTTTTTTTTTTTTTTTTTAAAAATATTATGCTTATTTTCCATAATTTTACTACACGAGTTTCTGGTCTTGTGACTATCTTCAGGTAAAAGCAGAGATTTCCACATATTATTAAAAAAAATTAACTTTTTCCTTATGTTTTTCAATGTTAAATATTCTCGATACAAGACATTCTCTGTTTTTGTGTTAGTAATCCGAATGTCTTTCTTGAACTGGCAGTGAAGAGTTCTGCGCGAAGGGTCATAAAACAATTAAGGTTGGTCCAAGAGAAATGATGAATTACTTATCGGCATTTTATCTTTTAATGTTTTACTGACTTCGGTGCATTCTTAGATCTGTTTCCATTTTCATGTGTTTCTGTCAGCATGCGTGTATATATTTCCCCTCCATACATATACAGTCTTACTATGAGGAATTAGTAAACATTAGTCTTTTATATATATATATATATATATATATATATATCTTTATTTGCATTATTTACAGTTGGACTAATGTCCTCATCTTTATTGTTGTTATATTTCAGGCATTATATTTTCCAGCCTTCTTCAGGTGTTTGTCAAGACGGCTAACCTTCAGGCAATTTTGAACTAAACATTTTATTTAATTAAAGTGTTTGCATTCCACTGTCCATGTCTAGGGATATCTCTTCTTGTTCTTATTTAATACTGCTCAGTTATATTCTGTTACCACTGAATCTTAATCTGCTTGGCCCAGGGATTGAACTCCCAATTACTATATCATTAAATTCAAGAAACAATGTTTTAATCCAGTGATTCTCAACAGATGTGCTGCAGCACACTAGTGTGTCGCAAAATATTGTTACAGCATACATACTGGATTTGATCCATTTTGGATTTCAATACAAAAGGAATATCCCAGATTAGCTAAAATGGCTTTAACAGTTTTATTGCAATTTTCTATTTCTTATTTATGTGAAGTTGGTTTCTTGACTATAAATAACATCAAAAATAAAACACAAGAAAGGCTACACTCAATTTAAGAAGAAATGAAGGGCTGTTTATCACACATTCAACCAAACATTGAAGAAATCACAAAAAGAAATCACTAGGCACTGCTTTCATTTTAAATAAGCTGCACAAATAGTTGAATAGAAACATTTGAGATAAAGTAAGTTCATAGTTGTCTGTGTATTTTCTTTAAATCTGTGGTTTTATTTCATAACATTTAAATGTATACCCTTTGAAAATTTTGCTAAGTGTGCTGTGATATTTTCATTTGCTCTTAGATGTGCCATTGTTTAAAAATGTTGAGAAACACTGATTTAATCCTTTGGTTATTGTCCTATTTAAGCAAAAATAGTATAAAGTAATTGCTGGCAACTTGTACCCAAATATGCCTGTCTGCTAGGACAACTAGCCAATTTCTATTGCCTACTCAAGCACATTTTGTGTTTTTTTTTTGTTTTTTTTCAACATCCAGAGAGCCCAACTGTGGTTTATACCACATCTATGCCGAGCAGACCTTAGTTAGAGTTTCTGGCAAAGAGTTCATTATCTGGCATATCAACAGTCTGAACAAGGCCAGCACACTCAAACTCTTGGTCATGATAACTTTGGTTAGTTCCGTCAACCCAATTTCACTCACAAGGCACATGGCTGAGTGCTCAAAACATTCATTTTCCAACCATACAACCTGGGTGTAAATTGCAAGAAGATGACTTCTTGATGTTATTGGTTTGTAGAGGTGATCCTAGTGTGGAGCACCTCTGGAACATGCCAGAAAACCATACCACGAGTTGACCCAAGAAATTTTATAATATCTCTATGTATGCATGATTATTTTGTAGTTTTAGTACAAGGCTACAATTATGTGGCACCCAGTGAGGATCTTCAAGTCCAGCTAGCTGACCCAAATACTATGATGAGGCCCATTATTTTTTTCTCTAGTTGTAAACTAAGAATTCACAAGAAAAAACAGTAACCATAATTAATGATTTCTGAGCAAGTTTTGTTTTAAACAATATTTTAATAAATTTATTAGATTTATATGCTTTTTTTGTTTCATTTTTCCAAATGTGAAAAAGAATCTCTGGAGGCACCTAACTTCATTTTTATTATAGAAATGCATTTCACATATATTTTTCTTTTTCTTCCCTATATTTACAAGAGATTCCATTAGGATTAGAAATGCCGTATTTGAGTGTCAATTAAAAACCTTTCCAAAAAGGTGGTAGTAAAAACTGAAAATCTAATTCCTTCCTTCTGAAATTCAATCAGATCTCTGTGATAATGCAGTCTTTTCTTTGCAGGCTAAAATCATTTCTGCTTTTTGATTTGTTAAGATTCTTTTATGATGTCGCCTACTTTACATTATGGCCATCTTGCCAATCATTCATTGTAATGCATATTATAAATGAAGAGGACCAGAATTGTCTAATTGCTTAAAAGAAATATGCACTGCACCTAAGATGGCTACACTTCTTCTTTTTTTTTTTTTTTTTTTTTTTTTTTTTTTTTTTTTTTTTTTTTTTTTTACTTTAAGTCTGAAGAGAGTAGGAATCAAATCAAGAAAATTCCGGAAACAATAATCCTAAATACATACAAGATACCTTATGCAATTTTCCAGCCTTAGGATAATTTATGAACTGTACTTGATTATTTTTGATTAAGAGTCATTAACAGATTAGCTAAGTATCATTATTTCATAGCAGATTGTTTTTAAGTTTTCATTTTTTTTCTTTCTTTCTTTTCACTCATACATTAAGATTAAAAACAAAAAAAAATGAGATTGTTGGGAAATAGTTAAGAGATGGAAAACAATGCTTTTTGGATAATGTCTGATGTTTATCTCTTCTATTGAACCAAGGTGTTCATATCTACTTTGCTGTTTGGTGGAGGGGGGGATTTTTAAAAATTTTATTTTAAATTTTTATTTCAAGTTTGTCAGTAAAATGAAGCAATTAATTCCTAATGAAGTATTTTTCTCTATAATTAACAAACTTCTTTGTTTTAAAAGAACACACACACACATATATATATATATATATATATATATAATTAGTTTACATGCATCACCATTTGTGTGTAATATATATATATATATATATATATATATATATATATATATATTTTGTTTATGTACATATGTTGATGTGATGGGTGTAAGAATAAATAAAACAATATTTAAATGCTCCTTAACAGTTAATTTCCATTTCTTAAGAATTCTTTATAACTTTGATATTTTTATTTCTTAATTTTCTAAAATTGTCAGCTTAACCTAAACCTGTCACCTTTCACCCATTGCCTGCTCATCACCCAAGTGTACAAATGTAAGTAGGTGCATTTTTCTTTTCTTCCTTGGAATCTTAAGTGCAAGGCAATCTTCAAATTTTCAGAAATTCAATTTCTTTTATTTCCATATAGTCTGCTCAATTTTAAAGATAGGATTTGTAAATTAATTCATAAGTACTGATTTGTTTTTCTCTATCAGTTTTTATTTTATCTTTTACTGCTATTTACCTTATATATAAAAAATTAAGTGTATGTGTTCTAATATTGTGGATATACAGGCCGTGGAACAGTCGTTGGTCTAGAAAATAAAATCAGCAAAGCAAGTTCAAATTTTAGATGAGTTGCATTCACATGAAATAAATGCATTTGGTAAAGGCATGAGTCAATTGCTTCGTTCCCCAGTGATTAGTAAAACAGTAAGGTAGACTGTAATTTCTTGCCTTGGTTGTTAATCAGGAAAGGAAAACTCTGAATTCAAACTACCATATAAATAAGCTGGCTTCATGTATACTGCAACCCCTGAATTTTTTTTGCATGAATTTTAACCCCTCCATAAAAATTTTACCTGTGTAAAGTCTCTTTCTCACCACCTTAACATAGCTTCCCTGTGCTGCTGCTTTATAAATACTTTCATGGTAATTGTTCTGATGATCTGTGATGGAAAACTATGAATTTAAGGGCAGTACTAGATTGGCAGCAAGATCTCAAATCAGGAAGAGACAGTTGAAATATCTGGGGTACATAATGAGGAAAGAAGGCTTAGAAAATTTGATACTCACAGGGCAGATTGAAGGTAAGAGAACCAGAGGAAAGTAATGCACAACCTACCTGATGAGGTTGAGTGAATGGATGGTGCAGCAGGGTTTGGGATAGATGGCAAAAGACAAGTTATTAAGAGCTACAAAGGATAGGAAAGAGAGAATATGATTGCCAACGTCCTGAACGAACATGACATACAGAGGAAGGGGAATGCTTCTCTTACAAAAATTAAGTTTTTTTTTTCTTTTTTTTTTTCTTTCAGTTTGTTTCGATTGAAAGATGATGGCGAGGCCTATGCGCAATTCAGATGTTATGCAAGACGGCTTGAAGAACTCACAAGCTTTGCAACCACACCCATGGATGTCAACTTGTTGCAAGAGATTTGTGATTGCTTGCGGGAAAAACCTAGCTGGTCAGCTGCCCATGTTGCTGCCTATGTTGGCTTTGATGAAGCCTTCCATGACCAATGCATGCGCAGGTAAAGCACACTAGATTTGTGTTTCATGAATGACAAATCTATTTGCTCTTTATTTGAATGTCTTTGAAAAGTGTATCTGTTTCAAGTATAATGAGTCAAAGAATGTCTTTAATAATAATTCCATTGTTATATGCAAAGCCAATGGAAGGGTCTCATCCCCTCTCCAAATCTATATGAAACCCTCCACACACACACACTACATCTCAATCTTCATAATAGAGTATTCATATAAAATACAAATTTTATTGTAACCTAATAATATATCATATGCAATATAGGTGAACAATTCAACTAGAAAAGTTGAAAATAAATACAATGTATCTGAATACAAATTAGAGACTTGTCATAATAGATCATTCCATTTTAAATAAATTAATAATGCTTTGTGGCATTTTTTAACATCAACTTGAGAATTTTTCTTATTAAAAGTTGAATAATTTAACATATTCAACATTATGGATAAAAAATAGTGAATCTTATATAGTGTTTTTTTTTTTTCCAAACTTAGCATGAGCAAAACAAATTCATGGATTTGAATGAAAAAAGAACCCAGAATCGATAGAGTCCTTTAAGAATTCAATCCTTTAATAGTCAGTTGGGCTTAGTTTAATTTGTAATGTATATAAAGGTAAGTAGAAAAAAAGCAAATGTTGATAAGATAGTGAAAGTTGCAAAGCACTGCCAGGGGTCCCCAATCAAGCTTGCCCCCCAACACAGACATGGCCAAGGGTGTTCAGGGTAGTATGCACCAGCCCTGGTTATGATTCTTTTACCATTAAGCAGATAATATTTGCCAATTTCTGGTTAATTAGTTATTTCATTACATTTCATTTATCACATTATATTCACCTCCATTGACAAGCTGCAGTGTAAAGCAACACTTATTACATATCATTTTATTATTTTAAATTAGGGACCTCCACAAAAATGTGATACCTAAGTTTTCAAATGAATTTTTAAAAATGAAAAACTTACTTTTTTGTATTTTAATTTTAAGCTAATAGTTTAAATCTAATATTTCCAATAAGCAAAATACTTTGCTGTATTTCATAAACTAGTTTAAATTGACTGGAAGGAGTTTTTTTTTTTTTTTTTGCAGATTGGCACACTTTTTTAGTTGTTTTTCATTGCAATGTAATTCTCTTTATTAAAAAAATCTACCAAAAATAAAATATACGTTTCTGAAATTTTATTTGAGGAATGTTAAAGTATAATTAATTTGATTAGAAACAAATATTATTTACTTTAAGTACAAAAATATCACAGAAATTCATTTTTTAACCCCAAAATAGCTGTTTTAACCTGACAGTAGCTATGTTGATGTGTTTGACAATGTGATGACAAGTCTAATGTTGTTCAATGGAGACTTTATCTGTAAAACATAATTGAAGAAAATGACATGAGTGCCCTTTTTATTTAATTTTTAAGTACTCTGTAATCTTAAAAATTTAGAAAAATATGTTCAGTTTCATATCCAAAATGTAAACAAAGCAATTTCTAAAGAATTAATCAATTTTATTTCTCAATCCAAGTCAGTGTGCTTTTAAAGGCAAAGAACTTCACTTGATTGTGATGCTCCTTGTAGTAGAGTGATAAAAGCATGCCAGATCAAACAGTAGTTCCTCCTATAAAGTGGGATGCAGGTTCAAATCCTGCTGGAGGGTGCATTTTCTTTATCAAGTATGCAGGCTGGTCAACAAAATAAATATTGTTTAAATTAACAGAGCGTCTACTTAAATATGGGTATCCACTAGGAATAATGTTTAAAGTAATAAAAATATTTTGGATTAAAAATTAAAATCCATAAATTCTTTAGAGGCACACTGGATAGCAGCTTGGATTGAGGAACCGGAGAGCCGAGTTCAAATTCCCTTCGCATCCATTACATTCACTTACATGCTAATACCCTTGGGAAAGGTATGAATCCTCTTCTCTCCCCAGCTATGGGTAAATAGCAGGACAGAGTGGGTTCTGTAGCCTTGGGTGGCCAATGGTCTAGGCGAAAGTAACTCTGAATTCAAAATTGTATGTAACCCTGGCACAGCACAGACTATACAGCTAAAGAAAGGATCATTCACATTGGCTTGATGATTCTGACTAAGTCAACCATGCTGCAATATGAACTCTCGTCTCATGGTCGGAAAGTGAACATTCTAACCCCTCAGTCACGTGCATATATTAAAATGTGTCTATAGCCTTAGGTGACAACCGGTCCGAAAAAGTAATTCAAAACTGTATGTAGCCCTGGCGTAGCACATACTATACAGCTGAAGAAAGGATCGTTCGCACTGGTTCAATGATTCCAACTATGATCAACCTGGATGGATGGATGGAATTCTTTAGAAAATGTCACTTCATGTCAATAAATTGTAACAGATTCTTTACTGGATGTTTTAATAATTTCTGTTAATTACAAATACCCATTAATATAGACAAAGGGAAGTTCTAAGAGTTCTGTTGCCTTTTATAACATTTCTGTATAAAGATATTCAGCAAGATGATTATTATTTTCTAAAGTTCTTTTGATCATGACCACTTGAATCTCCTATTGCAGACATAGCTACACAGAGCTGACTATAAAAGAAAATTTGAATAACTTTCTAATGTTTGTATTAATAATAATAATAAATTCAGATACTTGTTATTTTTTTTATTTTTTTTAAATAATTCAGTACATTTATAAGAAAGTATTATTAAACAGATTTCTTTTTTTTAACAGTAGGGTTCACCCTGTCCAAGCCCCAGGGGCCACTTGAGGTAGATGGTTACATTAAGGAGTAGTTTATTGAATAGAAGGGGAAGATAATGGCTGAGGAGGCATGGTGGAGTAATGGATAGCGGCTGAAGAGGTACGGTGGAGTAATGGATAGCGGCTTGGATTGAGGAATCAGAGAGTCACGTTCGAATTCCAGTCAAATCCATTACATTCATTTACATGCTAATAATCTTGGGAAAGGTGTGAATCCTCTTCTTCTCCCTCCAGCTATGGGTAAATAGCAGGACAAACTGGGTTCTATAGCCTTGGATGGCAACTTGTCTAGGAGAAGGAAAACTCTGAATTCAAAACCTGCGGAGGGTTGTTTGGGGACCTTGTGGCATATAGTGCACCAGGTCTCTGTAATCGGCCCTTCAAAAAAGGTGGATGGTCCTGCACGAAACCTTCACCACTATAATTAAATCTCGTGCTATACATGCGGGTTTGGGGACTGCTTGTGAATTCCAAATTCCCATGAAACTCCAATACTGGAGCCGGCTCAACCCACCCCGGGTGAATGCCATTACAAGAAGTTACAAGATAATGGTTAAGTCTAGACTTGAACAGGTTAAGATTGTAGTGAACAGGGAAGTATCCACTTGGGAGTCTGTTCAGTGGTGTATAGAAAGAAGCCGTTTGAGTGGAACTTACTTCTCACCAATGGAATACAGAGGGAATATGGGTGGTTTGCTACAATGTAAGTGGCATAGTGGGTCCTATCTGTGAAGGTTAGACCTGACAGAATCAAGAAATGTACTTCGTCTGAGCATTTTCTGTGGAAGTAATGATAGAGCCAAGGGAGGCTCGCCATATCCTGCTTCCAAGAGAGAATTTGGAGGGTGGAAAATAATTTGTCACTCACAAGGACTCGGAGACACTTTTGAATTCTATCAAGACTATTTTAGCTTATCTAAATAATTTTGTAAAAATTGGTTAAAAAACTAAAATAAATACAGGATATTTACTTTAATTCATCCTAACTAGCTGAATTCATGTTCTACAGACAGAGAAAAGTTATAAGAGAAGTTCTGTTACCTTTTATTCATAAGATTTCTGTATCAACAACATTTTCAGCCAGATAATTATTTTCTCAAGTTCTTTTTGTCACTTGAATTTACTACTTTGAACAGAGCTGACTGTGAGAGAAATATTTTAATAATTTTTGCAATATTTTTAATAATAATAATAAATATCAATTCGGCAAGCTAATAATTCAATATTTTAAGAAAATCAAATTAAACAGTTTATTTTGACATTTAGATAATTCCATAAAAAATTATTTTAAATTCTACTCAAGTAATTTGTAGTGATGTGAAATGTCAGATGACAACATTGGTTACTACAAAGATTGCAGGAAATAAGATATAGCAACATTTCCAGGCCTAAAATTCGATAATTCTATAAATTTTTTAAATATTTTTAAAAATTATGTCTGCTTCCTTTAAAAAAAAAGGAATTTTTTGGAGCCAAAATTACATTTTCTGTAATATAAACAGAATATTTTTTCTACTAACTTATGACTGAATTTTGACTTGAGCAAATATAAATTCTTTCTATACAAAAATGATTAATTTAAAAATAAAATATTATCAGCAGAAACATTGCTTATATATGGCATCTTTTAAAATTCAAATTAAAAATAAATAACACAGATGAAATATAAAAAAATGTATATAAAATGCTGGCAAAAGTTCATTATGCAGGTTGTTTTGTTCTACAGATCTAAGTTGGGGACATACAGACAAAATTTATTCTTATACAAATTTATAAAAGAAAATTTAAAGAAGTGCTTTTGATTTGATACTGGTCAAAATATTTTAATTTTTTTCTCAATGAGTGCTATATAAATGTGGCCTTGTGCCTAGCATTGCATAGCTAAATCTAAATTAAAAGGAAAAATACCAGAATTAAAAATCATTATTTGTATTATTATATGCTTAATACACTGCAAGAAATAATGATATAAAATTTTGAGTTTTTATTTTAAAAATATAATTATAACTTCTAAATGTGTTTACATAAAAAAATATTTCTTGAAAAAAGAAAATAATATTGAATATATATATAGACAATAGGGATATAGGAATCAACACTGTGAGGTCACTGTCATTATCACACCTCAATGCAATTAGATCATAACTGGTATTTAATGATATTTAAAATTTATGTTGATTTTTCTATGGCAGGCTATTCACAAAATGATCTGAAGTCATAAAATATATATGAAATTGTAAATGAATAAATCTTTTATTTAAAACTAAATACGACATATTTCCACATATATGGCGACTGTTAAATAAGACAAGTTCCAAAAATATAGCAAATTTTCATGAATTTATCCTATACCTGTAGTCTAAGACAACTGCTTATTGATTATATAAAGATGATATTATTGGAAATGTTGTTACTTACTGTATCCTTAGAAATTCAAAATAAACACCATTCTGGGTATGACGATAAAATGATGATAAACTACATCCACGTCCTGGGTAAGACGATAAACTACATCTGACTGCAAACTGGGGTCAAAACACTATGAAAGTGTAAAAATTGGTTTTAATACCAGAAGTACTTTGTAAACAAATTATTACCAACTATATAATTTTGAAAAAAATATTAGAAGCATTATATTTTGGAAGAGAAAATATTACCAGAAATAGATTTTTGAAGAAAAACATGAGGGGAAAAAAATATTACCAGCAATACATTTTTGAGGAAAAAAAAAATTACCAGTAATAAAAATTTTCAGCATTTAATAACCCATTGAGATTTATATGCTGTAAAACAAAACAAACCCAAATCAAACCATCAAAATAAACAAAATAATAAAATTGATTCTACATCATATTTTTTCCTACACAGATCCCCTAAAAGGGAAGCCATTATTTTGTTTACATTTCATCATGTATTTCAATTGCAAATACTGATTCTTCTTTTTTTCCTATATCTAAACAGTCACAAACTGCCTGGTGTACTAATTTTTTTATTCAGTAAAATGATGATTATTGAAAGTTTAGCGAAAGATAAAGGTTGCTTTGGTGAACGCAATCATAACTTGATGTTTACATTTTCTCAGTTGATTTTGCATGGATACAAGTTGATTTCATTGATATGGAATTAATATTCGAATTTGCAATTTATTATGAAGTTATCCCAGTAATATATCAGATAGAAATGATTTTATTACTTTTCTTATCAGTTAATTTGATAATGTGAATCATTTCATGTACATTATTAGTTATTGCACTGAGGCCGATGTTGTTAGCCTACTGACAAACATCACTCGGAATTTAAGGTTTCTTTTTTAGAATTGTAACATAAGACCACCCTCAGTTTTTTAAGGGTGATTTTTGGAATTTAAACATTGCCTTATATGTGGAAATATACTGTATTTATTCTATTCTCTATTATTAAAAGTAAATGATTTTTTCTTAAATTGCAAAGATATATATATATATATATATATATATATATATATATATATATATATATTTTATTAATTAATTACTTCATCCAAAACAAAGTGATAACACCATCAAGATGCAAGAGGCCACAGGAAGTGAAAGAGAAGGAAATGATTTTAGAAGGAACCAGAAACCCAATAATAGAATAAATAAAATTTAGACGGAACCAGAAACCCAATCATAAGCAGGAAATACAGGATATAAATCTCTATTCCTGTTCAAAAGACTGGGAAAGAGAGTGAACCAGACAATAGTTGAACCTATCTACTATGCTATGAAATATGCTCAAATCTCATGAATTTTATACATTTTAATGCCATATCCCTTCATAACCCTCCATAGATACTTTTTATTATCTTTGAATTGCAATGCATTCTTGGAAAAGATAGTGGAATGGTTTCCCATTGCTTTCTCCATGCTTTTCAATTTAGAGTTTTCCTACTCTTAAACTGGTTACCACTCAAGGCTAGAAAAGCCAGTATACTCTGCTATTTAACCCCTAGTTGGGGAATTTTCTACTAGTCTTTTGATGGCTTACATCCATATCACATTGAGACACTAGTTTTCATGCAATCACCAAAGTTAAGCAATGTCATACCTGGTCAGGGGGTGTAATGGATAACAGCTCAGAAATGGAAATCAAAGAGCTGAGTTCCAATTCCCATTGGATTCATTATCACTAGCAAATACCCTTAGAAAAGGTATGAATCCAACCGTTCTACTCCAAGCTATGGGTTAATTTGTAAAATTTGTATCAGTGAAGCATTATTATTTCTAGAAAAGTTTTTACAATCTAAAAATATTTTCTGGCTTTAAATAACCTGTAAAAGTTGAGCCATAAAAAAATTCAATCCATACACTTTTGATATTTAGTATCAGTAATATATAACATAATAATAATTATTCTTATTAATTTTTGTATTAAGTATTTCTTTCATCTTATTTCTCTTGCTTTTTATCAAAACAATTATTATTCTATGATCATATATCTAAGCCTCATGGATCAGAATAAAGCTGTTCCTTGTGGGAAATTCAAACGCTTGATAGTTTTGATAAAAATGCAACAGTAAAAAGATGAAAGAAATACTAATTGAAAATTGATGAACAGTGACAATATTTAATTTTAAAGATATTCAAAGACTATACCTTCATAATATGCCATCTTTATAAGAGGAATTGATAAACTATTAGGTTGAGTCATAAATAATTTCCACTTTTATTTATTAACTTTAATCATCTTTTAAATAAATAACTGACAAATTCTGTCTGTCTGTCCATCCATGTGTCTGAAGAAACTCAGGCCACACTTGCTCTACATAGACATATTATACCATTTTGGAATTTGAATGATCCTAAGACTGAAAATCTGCCCTTCATCAAAAATAAAGTACAATTACATTTTATTCAATTATATATTCACCATTATTTGCCAAGACTTGTATCCACTTATCAAGCAGCTCTCTGAGTAAAATTCCACAAATTTTGATGTGAAAAGGTTTTCAATGAACTCTGGAATTTGGCTTTCATTAAAGAAAGTTTTCCCCATCAAAGTGCTTTGTAACAGTCAAAAATGGTTGGCACAAAGTCAGGAGAATATGGCAGGTGGGGTAAAATATACTAACCGAGTTCCAAAAATTCTTCCCTCTGCTATTCTTGTAGTATGCATTGTTATAGAGGTGGACAACATTTTTCTTTTAATCCACTGTGTATGCTGCCACTGCTGTTTTAAAGATTAAAGTGTGTTAATCATACTCCAAATTTATTTCTAACTGCCATGTATGTTAAGTAGTTATGATGATACATTCATCATTACAATTGGTTCCTCAAATTTGGAAATTACTTGTAAAATGGTCATCATTTAATGAACACAATACACAATGATATACCACCTACTGTGATTGAAATTCATAAACTTGTTTTTGACTTAAAAATGACAATTTTTTTTTTTTTTTTTGGCATTACCAGCAAAGTTAATGAGCCAAGTGACTTTACCAAACTGTCTCCACTAATGGTTGCTGTTCAAGCCAAGCAGGATAAGTGTGTGACAAAATTACTCCACTGTGGGGCTACATTGAAGAGCCAGGACAAAGACGGCAATACTGTCTTTCATTATGCAGTGGAATCAACTGTGGACATTATTGAGGTTAGACAATTTGAACACTTACTTTTTCTTTCTTTTGTTGCTTATTAGGCTTCAACACATTGAATATTGATATCAGTAGCAAATAGGAGACCCTTAAGATCAAAAAAAAAATGTCAATACTTTCAAATTTTCCAAACTGAGAGTGTAGGTGACGTTTGCCTAGTTCATTGGAAGCTCATGTGGACACAGTTAGTGGTTGATAGTTTGATATACCTCATCAGTATATATTTTTATTTATCAAAACAAGTGTTGATTGGAAAGCTTAAGATGTGTCTGACATTGTAATTTATTTTTTCTGATACTAATTAATACTTTCACTGTTCTTATAGTATTGTTGCTTGTCTGTGCTGGCCCATTTTATGAAAAATAAGAAATTGCCACTTACTGGAAATAAAAAAAAAAAAATGCAAAAATACTGGTGGCAATTTGTCATTGGTGCAACTATTTTGGTTTTGATCAGATACTCTACAGTACAGACTAAATGACACCTACATCACAAAATAGGTCACATTGTATGCTACTATATATCTACACTGATTTGCAAATAGCACATCTGCTAGGTACCAACATTTCACAGTGTCTTCAGAAATATATATATATATATATATATATATATATATATATATATATATATAATTATTTATTTAAAAATATGATTCCAACTCGCGACATAAGAGGTCTTATGTTTCAAAACAAGAGCTGAAAACTTCAATATAATTATATGAATTAAATTGAATTAAAGTACTAAGCTCTGTTCCATCTTCAAGCGAAATTTTTTTTGGAATAACTTATTTCTGAAATTTACGTGTTTTAATAGTATATTCATAATTGAAATCAAAATTTCCATGGTAACAGCCAGGGCGACTTTAAAAATCAGGAGATCAGTTGAATCCGTTACCTTGGTTTCAACCTTAGAGTATCCTCAGGTGATTTTTATCAAATGACCTCTTAACCCTTTTTTTTTTTTTTTTTTTTTTTTTTTTTTTTTTAAATAATAAACAAACAACATTGGGTGTAATAGAAAGGAAGGAGGAGGAGGATGTGAAGAAGGAAGTGTTAAGAGGTCAATTAATAAAAATCGCCTGAGGATACCATAAATTTGAAACCAAGGTAGTGGATTCTGATCTCCTGATTATTAAAGTTAAATGTTCTACATGTCATTTTTACTTTTATTTTATTTTTTTCACATGTGTAGTGATCACTTTTTAATACCACTTTTTCCTGGTCTGATTCAACTAAGAGAGAGAGAATTAATACAAGTAAAAGGCTTATCACTTAGTTGATTGAAGTTACCTTCAGCATCCCAACCCCAGATGGACTCTCTGAGAATCACTCCATCCAGTCGTCAGGGTATATCAGCAATTGACTGTTTATATTTCTCTATTTTTCTTTTTTATATGCACTTTTTATTGGTGTAAGTTTTTCTTCTTTTTTTTTTTTTTTTTTTTTTTTTCATAGTGTGTGTGTGTGTGTGTGTGTCCATGCTCCCAGATGCATGTATGTGTGTACGTGTAGAATGGCGTGGTTATTTGTCCTTTTTGTTATTTTTTTTTTTTTTCACTTTACACTCACTCCTTAGCAGGTTTTATTAGGAGTCAATGGATTCTTTACCCAAAATTATTTCCTACTTCTGTAAATGTTATTTTGTGGATACCTATGTTTGAGTAGACACCCTGCTTTTTTTTAGAGTATGAATTATGTCTACCAACTGTGAGATTTAATAATGAAAATGTGCTCTCCAACAGGGTTCAGCCTGCATCTCTCTTTTTGTAGGAGAAACCCACTGGAGGATGCAGGTTCAAACCAAAGCAAAATTTAAATGAACCATTAACAAACAACATTTATGTGCTGTGTTTAAAGTAAACTGAAAATACAGGGTGTGACAGAAATATCTCCCACATAATGGTAAGACATTAGCGACAATAGTGTCTTCATCTAGGTAATGTCTTATCATTATGTAGGAGGTATTTCTACTGTACCATGAGAATTTTAAAAATGATAAACATTGAAAACATAGACATGACTTGAGATAGCTAATTATAAATTAAATTTTTTTAATAATGTGTTTAAAATTTTTAAAGACACAATAAACTCACATTCTTTATATAGAAAAAAAATGAATAGAGAAAAATTTTCAAATTAAATAATAGAAGTAACATTGAACATAAAAATTAATTACCATATATTTCTGTGTATAAGACGACCTTTAGATAAGACGAGTTCCAAAAATATAGCAAATTTTCATGAATTTATTCTATACTTGTAATATGACTGCTTATTGATTCTATAAAGATGATGTTATTCGAAATGTTATTTATTGTATCCTTAAAAACTCAAAATAAATGAAATAACCAAACTGATTCTACATTGTTTTTCCTACATGCATCTCCAAAAGGGAAACCATTGTTTTGTTTACATTTCATCTAGTGATCTCTTGCAATGTGGAATTATTCTTCGAATAGGCAATTTATTATGAAGTTATGCCAATAATATCTAAGGTAGAAATGGTTTTATTACCTTTATTATCAGTTTACTTGATATGAATTTTTTCATGTACATTATTGGTTATTACACTGAGACTAAGTTTAGCCTATCAACAAACTTCACTCAGAATTTAAGGTTTCTTTTTTAGAATTGTATTATAACCCCCAACTTTTAAGTGTGATTTTGGGTATTTAAAGATTGTCTTGTATATGGAAATATATGGTAATAAGTACATTTCCATGTAAGGTGATTTAACCAAAATGTTTAAATAAAAATAAAGCTTTGATTTATTTATTAAAATTACATTAAAATTTAACTACCATATTTGGTGGCATATAAGATTTACGGATGTATAAGACACACCCCAATTTCAACAGGGAAAATCAAGAAGAAAATTAGCAATTAGTAAAATTATTAGTAAATGTTACAGCCTAGGGTATATTTATGGGATATTATTTGGGTTAAACAAGCCATGATTACAATTAAATGAAAAATAATAGATAAAATAGAACATGAACTATAAAAACTTTATTATATTCAAAGGTAAGAAAACAAAATAAAAAATCAAGCAATTATTACAATTGAGCAAAACAATACAGTTACCATTAAAAGTTTATTCATCTTCAAATCCATAAAATTCATTGTCTCTTATCAAAACTCTGATACTCATTTTCAATACTACTATCATCGTCATTAAATAATGTGTCATCTTCCATTCCATTTTTAAAAGATTTCATAACAATTTCTGTTCTAATATTATCCCAAGCTTCTTGCTTCACCTATTCACAATGCTGGGTTTTTTTATTCTTCCTGTAAGTGTAAGGCATTGCCATCCACATGTGACATTGCTCCTTCATGTTTAAGTCTAAGTTAATAGGAGTTGCCAATTTTGGTCGACTATCATGAATTTGGTCGACTAAATTTGAATTTGAATTTGGTCGACTATCATGAATTTGGTCGACTAAATTTGAATTTGAATTTGGTCGACTATCATGAATTTGGTCGACTAAATTTGAATTTGAATTTGGTCGACTAAATTTGAATTTGAATTTGGTCGACTAAATTTGAATTTGAATTTGGTCGACTATCATGAATTTTGGTCGACTATCATGAATTTGGTCGACTAAATTTGAATTTGAATTTGGTCGACTATCATGAATTTTGGTCGACTATCATGAATTTGGTCGACTAAATTTGAATTTGAATTTGGTCGACTATCATGAATTTTGGTCGACTATCATGAATTTTAAACCTACATATGGCATATAAGACACAGGGGAATTTTAAAAGATATTTTCAGTTAAAAAAAGTGTGCCTTATATGCTGTCAAATACGGTAATTTGTTTTTGCATTTATTCATTTTCAAAACTTTCATATTTTAGCTTTTTTTTTTTTTTTTAAAATATATTTTCTAAAAGTTTTAGTATAGTTTTTATTGTGCTGCTAACAACTATAATGGCTAACAAAGTTAAAAAATAACATTTTGATTTTGGGATAGTTTTAATTTTGTCAGGGATATTTAAAGTTGTTTTTTGGGGTCAGTGAAAAAAGAAACCCTGATTGACCCAGAATCAGTCACCTGTAAGTATTCTTTTTCTTCTAGCTAGTTAGATTCCAATTTGCTTTTTAGTATAAATACTTTGAAACCATATGTCCCTTCAAGGAAACTGATAAGAACTGTCATACTGGTCAATTTCTAGGTTTATCAAAGTTCCCCATCTCGTGTTTAAATTTTTTTTTTGGCGTTTTTACAAAAATTTAACTTTTTCTTTTTTTCTCCAATTCTTGCTTCAAATGATAAGAAAACTACTATTTTGCAGTAATATATATATATATATATATATATATATATATATATTATGTACACTATTTACATTATTCGGACTATTGTCCTCATCTTTGTTGCCATATTTATTACAACGTTTCAGCCGTTGTACACTCCAGCCTTCTTCAGGTGGTTGGAATGTTGAACTGAACCCTTTATTTTGTTCACTGGGATAGACTGTTCTAGTTCCAAGTGCCATGTTTAATGGATGTCAGTTATCAGTTATCTCCTGTTAATTCCCCTCTCCAAGTTCTCCACTGCCTTAACTGGGTATTGAACTCACATTCTTTGGGTCCTGTCACTGGATCTAACTAATGCCTTTATCCACTGTGCCATGAGGACATCTGTGTATGAATTTCTGAGTATTATAAACCTAATGTCTTCAGCAACCATTTTTTTACCAGTGCTCATATTGCAAGTTTTGCTGTTATCAACATGTTTTTACCAGAGCTCATATTACAAATTTTGTTGTTATTATTGCTTTTCTCTGGCACTCTTTATTACTGGTTCCCATATTGTATTCATTTCTATGCTTGAAGTAAAGATCAACATATACAGATCAGTCATTCTCTCAGCCCTTCTCTATGGTGCTGAATCTTGGACCCTATCCTGCAAACAAGTTAACTTGATGCCTTTAATATGTGATGTCTTCATGCCATATGTGATATAAAATGGGATGATAGGGTCAAAAATAGTGCAATACTGAAGAAATGTAACATCATAGTTATTAAAACCATTCTAGCAAATATACAACTTAGGTGGGTTGGTCACGTTATGAGAAAGGATGAGCATAGGCTTCCAAAAAAGCTGCTGTATGGACACTTACCAAACTCCAAGCGTTCAATTGGACGTCCACTCTTATGCTACAAAGACAAATTGAAAGACAACTTGAAATGTCTCAACTTTGATATGAAAACTTGGGAAATTCAAGCATCAAACCAAAAGGAGTGGCATAAGACATGTTTCATTATGTTAAAGTGTTTTGAAAACAGTAGACTGAAGCACCGTAATCAGCTTTGTCAAGCTCTGGAGCAGAGACTCCATCAAAATCCTGCTTCAACAAATTTCTTCTGTCAGTGTGGCTTTGTTGCCCACAGCAAGGCTGGGCTAGTATCACACTTGAGAAAACACAAATTAAATTCTTTCCCTAACCAGATTTTACCCTGCTAGCGTACATAAGTGTAAAACGAAAGGTACCATCCACTGCTGACCCTCATTTATCATTCATGATAGGGAGAGTCCATTATTATTATATATAATAAATAAAAACTTCAATGACTTATCTCTCAACTGAGATTTTCACAGATTTACCTCTGTAAAATTTTTTATTTATTCACTATTAATGCTCTATTTCTTGGTATTGAGCACTTTATTTGCAAAATCTGCTCACCTTGAAACATGTTATCCTTTAGTAATTTACTTTTTTTATGCATAAACAATCTGGTTTTTAAAATGAGGGAATGCATTCTTTTAAAAGGTACCTTCTTTGTCCAACACTTCTTCAGAAAGATTTATTGGAACAATAATAATCAAAATGGAGAAATTGATAAAGGTAGACATGGGGCAGGGTAAAAAGGATCCACAATAGTAAAAACAAACAAATTGGTGTAAATAAGCTCCTAGTGACTATAAAACAGGAAAAAAAAACTCACGAGAAAGAGAGAATAAAGAAAATTCTTCTGCCTGCACAAAGTCAATCAATGAAGTTTGATATAAACATCTAAAAACTATAAATGTTTACCCAACTGAGCTCTGTGAAGCACCCTGAATGCTCCATTAACATATTCGGAAGCACAACCCCGGTTGTTAATCAAATGAAGTCCAATCGCTGACTCACAAACTGACTGAGTCAAGCAATTACCATTATTAGCTTCACCCTGTTTTGTGGGCAGGCACGTGTTTTCCAATCCGAGTTTCTAACCACAAGTTGGTTCACCTACATAGTAAGCCTCACACCAACGTTTAAATTGATAGATCACAAATTTGCAGGTAGAGCAAACCATCCTTAGTGAAAGATAGGAAATTTTTGTTGAAATATCTACAAATATATATAATCTCAGATTAATAAATAAAAAATCCATTACTTCTTTAGAAATTGCTTTGTTACATTTGAATAGGAAACTGACTAGATATGAAACTTTGAGAATCTATGAAACGAAGCATTTCACTTAAATGTACTATACCGCCTTGCTTGATTGGCAATGTTAGTTTAAGCACATTGAATCTAACGACTGTTTCGCCTGTGAAGGGAAAGCAGATTTGAATCCTACTGAAAAGAGCATATTTTCTTTAATAAGATTTCTTGATTATTCAGGCTGATAGATGATAAAATATACTGTTTAAGAATAAAAAAAACAGCTTCTCAAATATAGATATCCACTAAAAATAATGTTTAAATGATAAAAATCTGCCAGATTAATATATAAAAAAAATCCATATATCCATATATATATGAAAGAGAGGATTGAGTTTGAAAATGAAAATTTTGGAGTGCAGTTGTCATCCCAACATTGTTCTACAAGTCTAAGCCATGAACACCCTGTAGAAAACTTCTCCTACAGCTAAATAATTTCCATAAGAGATCTCTTAAAAATATCTGTGGTTTCACATTGAAAGACAGTCTCAAGTAAGTTGTTGTTTGATAAATGTTGTATAGAAAGCATGGATGTCTTCTTGATTCAGTCTCAATTAAGATGGGCTGATCATGTTGCTCGGAAGAATGGTAAAAAATCTGCTGAAAATTCTCACTTATGGCCAACTTTAGGCAGCAATGGATAACATAGGAAGACCTCCTCTTAGATATAAAGATAAAGTGAAAGATAATACCAAACATTGAAATACAACCATCAAATTTTGCTGACTGTAGTATGTGAAGAAAAACAAGGCATTCAGAGCCACAGCCACACAAGGGTAATCTAAGGCAAATTTGCAAGAATACTGTCTCTGTTCAACATTCCATGTGTGAAAATTGCAGTGAAGTTTGCAAAAGCAGGAAAGGTTTAGTGTCTAACAGAAGAAACAAACACTAAAATGTGTAGTAAAGGAAAAGGGTAAATTTTTGGCCCTCATGTGTCGAAATTGTGGGAGAGTCTATTGTGTGTGTTTCGTTGAATATGACAATGAAAATTTAATTCGTTTTTTATTTATTTTTCCCAGCAGTCTTACATTTTTCCATTTGGTGAGAGTAAGGGACAATACAGACAATTTTTGTATTTCCTTACTTCCACCAAAAATATAAGAATGGTGGAAAAACTAAATAAAAAAATGAATTAAATTTTCCTTGTCTGTTATATTCAATGAAAAGAAACTTTGCTACCCAAACATACTTTAATACATATACATATATATTTATACAGAAAATATAAGCAACTCATTTATAAAATAACTTTGGTAATGTTTAACCTTCTGACCCAAAAAAAAAACAAACCAAAAAAACAATCTGTCAAAAGGACAGTTATTCCCTTGACACTGCTATTGCTGTGTATGCTTTTGACTCCCTTGGCAATATTTATTTACAAAATTATAAAAATATGTGAAGCAAGCATAATATGATATTATTTACAATTTTATAAAGAAATAAATTTGAAAAAGAAAAAAACTTTTTCAAAGCCTCATACAAAAATTCAATATTATCAAAATAAATAAAAAGAGATACTGTCAACCTATTTTAGTGAAGCAGCGAGGGCAAATAAAGAAAATGTATTTTTTTTTATCAAAATTTATTAACTACTGTTACACATCATTATGTGTTTATTTAAATTTTCTTTTTCACAAACATTTTTTATAAATTTATGAAGACAAAAATTTCTTTTCATATTTATTTCTTTATAAAATAGTAAATAATTCATTATGATTGGTTCGCATATTTATATAAGCTTGTAAAAAAGAAAGAAAAACAAATAAATACAATATCAATCATTATCTTCTGTCTTCTTAATTCTTGTTCTTTTATTGTTCTCTCACCTTTAATAGTATTTTTTCTTATAATCTCTAACAATAAAGGCACTAAGACACAAGATAATCCCTTGTGTCTGAGTGCTTTTATTGCCTTGCTTTGGAGTGAAATGATTAAAAAAAAAATAATTCTTGTAAATAAACACTCTAATAAACAGTGTTTAACACATTAGCTCCAACACAATCCACCAGAGTGTCATGATGATATGTCCAGTGAGTTGTTTTCAAATTTCCTTTTTATGAGGATTATTGAGAATGGGATTCTATGATTGATTGCTTCTGAGATCATGGTACACCAGAACCACATTTTGTTCTTAAAAAAAAGAAAAAAAATTAAATATTTTTGAATATAGAAAATGAGAGTGTCAATGTAATACTTGTATCTTGGGAATTTTCCAATGACGCACAGGTGGGTCATGTGGGACTCTCCATTGTAAAATGGACTCTGGGTACCAACCAACACACCGGTGGGTCATGAGTAATAAATAGTACCTATTATATCCATGCTTCACATATGAAACAATGTTAACATATAGTCGCTCTTACCAAAATTAAGATATAGTGTTGGAACCCTGGGACAATAAGAGAAATGAGGATTGGAAGCCAATGTGTTAATATATTTGTTGCTAATTCACAAGAAAAAAGAAAATGCATAAATCCACTTTCATTTGTTTGGGTTTTATTAAAATTCTAATCATCGCTTTTTTGAACAGTAAAAATTGACAAGGATGTCAAAAGTGTATGCAGTAATAGTTGTGTCAAGGAAATAACTGTCATTTTGACACATCAGTTTTTTGCAACCATAAATGTTAAACATTGCCATAACTTTTTAACTCTACCATCATTTTTTATGGTAAACTAATTTTTATAGATTTGTTTTAGTTTTAGTTGTGCTGCTATCTGTGTGAATAAACATAACTGATTTGTCACTAACAATGAATTATTGTTTTTCTTATAGCTTCTGTTTTTTTCTTGATTATAGATCTTGTCCAAGTACCCTTATTCCCGAGAAATGATTAATTGCAAGAATAACAAACGAGAAACTGCCATAGGCTTGAGTTGCCTGAAAAACCTGTCTACCTTCACTGAGGCCCTGTTGCATGCTGGTGCAGACCCCTGTATTAGCAATGGCACTTTCTTCCCTATTCATGCTGCATTGAAAACTGGAGACCTAAAGTATCTATGCCTTTATATCTATCATTATTATTATTATGATCATCTCAATATTATGTCATTATTGGCTGTTTTTGAGCAGCAGTTTTTCATTTATACAAATTTATTAAAATATTACTACAAAAGAAGCCATTTATTATAATTATGGATGATAGCATTAAAGTTAATTAGTCCCAAATGCTTTAATTAAAATAATTAATAATTTTTTTTTTCATAGTGTTTAAAACAAGTAATGTATATTATTATTCTATATTTAATATCATTTGCCTAATGTTATCAGCTGGTTATTGTTATCAAAAAGACTGTTCCAATGTGATCAAAATAAATGGCATCCTCTTCACTACGACTACTACTAATACTACTAATAATAATAATTCTTAATTTTCAAATCAAAGTTATTTATGACAATGAATGTAATTTCAAAAAAAGTAATGGATTTTTTTTATTTATTAATGTTTCAGTATTATTATGTTGTTTGGATAAAAATAAGTCGCCATTATGTTGCGGGTATCACCTCTTTGTTTGTGATGTGTATAGATATTTTATATTAAATATTTATGTGCTCCTGAAACAATATTGACAGACTCTTGTGAGTTCAGGTAAAAATAAAAACCCAAAACAAAAAATATAAAACAAATGACAATAGACGTTATTAACAAAAGGAATTGTGTGTGTACACAATTTTAATAAACTGAAAAAAAAAAACATTAAAACTAGCTATCAGAAGAATGTGCTTGTTTGTAACAGACACATGTGTATATGTGAGTGAGTTCAAAATTCAACAGAGGACCCAGGAAGCGAACATGTCCTGTCAGCAGCATTCTTTATCTATGTTTAACTACATCTGGAAGCAAAAGTTAAAAAGAAACAGAGAATATGATTATGGACGTAAAGAGCACCCCCCTAACAAGCACTTTTGGTGGAGCAACCCACAAATCCAACAGATTTTATTAATTTAAACACTAACTTCAAATCCTGCCAGAAGACACATATTTTTCTTTAATATGATTTTTAAAATATTCAGGCTGGCAAATGCAAATAAAAATACCATTTAATAAATGAACAAAGCATCTACTCAAATATGAGTATCCACAAAAAATAACACTTAAAACGATAAAATCTGTCAGATTAATAAATAAAAAAATCCATTACTTCTTTAGAGAATTGCTTTGTTTACATTTGGATATGAAATCTAGCAGATATGAAATTTCAAGTATTTATGATGAGGGATTTCACTTAAAGACTATTCAGCCTGCTTGATTGGCAGATATTCTTTGTTGTATAAGTATGTTGGATTTAACGATGGTTTCCCCTGCCAAGAGGGACCCATGTTCAAATTCTGCTATAGGCTACATAGTTTCCTTTAATAAGATTTCTTGAATATTTAGGCCAGTAGAAGAAGAAAAATAAATATTCTGTTTAATAAATAAATGGAACGTCTACTCAAATATGGGTATCCACTAAAATTATTTGTAAAATGATAAAAACAGTGAATGTTAATTGTTCTGACTTTTATATTCTTTGCTTAACATCACCAGTTGGTTATTGTTTTCAAAAAGACTGTTCCAATGTGATCACAATAAGTGGCTTCCTTCGTATTATATACAAGATGTGGAAAGAAACATCTCCCACGTTCTTAGAATTTATGGTGGCTAATGTCTTACCATTATGTTGAAGCCATTTGTGTGGGGTATTTCTGCCACACCCTGTATTTTATGTGTTGTAACTGAGTTATCAAAAACAACAGTAGAAAACTGGAATTGGTTTAACAACAAGTTTATTACCTTTTGGTACAGGGAAACATAATTTAGAATAGAAACTAGGGAAGAGAATGTTTAGCTGTGAATGACTAACTGTTTTCAGTAAAGGCTACTGCTGCTGCTACTCCTCTTGATGTAGGCAGATTTTTATGTCTTTCGTCTGATGGCTAAATCCAAAATTGTAGGGAAATATTCTCCCTCACATCATTGATATTTTTAATTCTTCTTCATTTGTGATACTTTTCTATATTATCTTCTAAGTGTTATCTTATATCCTATTATCATCTTTATTATTTATTAGCTGTTTAGATAACCTGTGATATCATGGTTAGTGTTTATTAACTAAATACATAAAAACAATTTCTTTCTTTCAAATCCTGACATACATTTATATACTGCCGCACTAAATTCTGCTTGTACCAAAAAATGAAAAGGTTATCATGGTCATACATATCGCTAGCCATATTTAGCGTTTCTTATCACTGCCCACTGACTCTTTGAGAGATTTTCATCTGATGTTGTGGACAACATTATTATTTTTATTTTCATTTATTCAGACAAGTTAGCTCAGACATTCATGAGTCTATCATGCCAACCATCATTGTCCTGCATCATGGTCAGAAGGTCATTAGAGAGACATTCTGTGTCCTAACATCGCTGTAGGTGGTTCCTTGGTGACCAACTTGTCTTGCTCTATGGTTAGGTGTCTAGAACAGTAGATCACTTATAAGTTCTTGTTTTGCTTTCCTGCAGTATTATGCAAAAATGCATTCTGTGTTCATGTAAGATTGTAGAAATATCAGGGATGGGTTCATAGAGCTGTGATTTAGTTGGATGTTGTCTTCAGGAGATGTTAAGTATAGCTCTTAGCATCTGAGTGTAGGTCCCATCAGGCATACAAATGTGGGTATTATTTCTTAGAGTGCATTGAAAGTTCTAATAATGGTTATGCCACAAGAAGAAAATGGAAATTATAAACTTCAAATACATCTCTAAATAACTAGAGAGTTTTATAAAAATGGTACATACTATTCATGAAGTTTCCACGTTGGCATAAAAATACTCTTACATCAAGAAGAGTATCAGTAGTGGTTGTTTGTCATAGGACAGCACAGCACATTTCACCTGTCGACCGACAGTAGTTAAAAAAGAGAAAGTTTCTTAATTGTCTGCTAAGGTGGGAGTGAGGCAGGGCTGTTATTTGCTCATCTATTGACCAATCAGATGACTTGTTACATGCCAGTTACAGCAATGCCATTAAAGAGACCTCTGGATTGGCCATTTCTAATTTTAAAATTTACCAAAGCTGGAGAGGAAGGATCTAAACAGGATCTACCCAGTCCCAACTTTCCAGCATTTGACAAAGATCAAAATCATTTATGCAGCTTTATGGGGATGACATTTTCAACCCTACACCCAATTTCTCATAGAACACCTCAAGCTGCAACTCTATCACTACTTGTGTGGCAAATGTTCAGACAAGCTCCATTCTTTAGTGCCACCAGTTTAGACCTATACAGCTAAGACCCATCTTGCTAGGTTCACAGGGATGAATCATCCTTATTCCCTATGTATTACTTTGTTCAGAAACACTATTTTGTAGAACTATGTGGGCTTCCCTGAACACTACAGTCTTAACTTCTTGATATGTCCCGAAAAGGGATATATTTGATCGAAGTAGCTAAGTAGGTTTGGCTACTATAACCAAGTAGTATACAGTAGCAGTAATCGACTGGTACTCGTTGTAGTCGCAGGTAATAGGTGTAGACCAATAGGATAGCCAATGGTGTAGTCCAATTGGCATCATCATAGACTTAAACTCTGTCGTACCTACACGTCCATCTGTATTTATGACTGACACCAGCCAATCATATTCCAGTGAGGGGGAACACAGGTGTATGTATATTCCATTATATCGCTTCTTCAAGTCTAGGGTTAGTTCTATCTATTCTCCATATTCTCATAATCTTCACTTTCTACTTCCTCCACTTAAAATCATCTCATACATTTCTTTCAGAAACCCTCTACCTTGAGTGACTCTTGAGCCTTGTATTAGGTGAACTTTAAAAAATTAAAGCACCTTAATAGGTTTAAACATTTTGGTATTTTTTTTATATAGATCATGTAATCATTTTTATAGTATATAATGTTAGTTAGATTTTCAGAATATACAATTAAAAAATGTCAACTTTGATTACTTTCCTTTTACATATAGATTACTTCCCTTTACTCCCAAGTTGTGATGTAAATGATAAGGTGATTACTATTTTCAAGGCAGAAAATGGCTTTGATTACTAAGCAGTTTAATCACAAAATCCATCAATGAAACAATTATGTATTTATAAAGATCACAAAAGATCAGAGTGAGAATTTAATAGCAAAGTTGCTTTTAAAATTTGGATCCTAAAGCTGAATATGTAAATTAGTTATCGCATTTAAGCAAGAGCTACTGAGTTGGGGAATATATAAGTTACCTGCTGGTAGATATAAATGCCAAAACAGCATTTCTTATACAGTTCTTATTACTAAACTTAAGCCCCATGGGACCATCCATCCAGGCATTAACTTTCCTTCGAGAAAGGACTGGAGTCATTACCCAATGGATGAGGTATCCTCAAAGGAGAAGTGCCAAGATGACTTGAGCAGTTTTGACCCTTGGCCTACATATGCATTGGTCCCCAATGTAAACTCAACCTTGTGTCATATTTTGTATGAGGTGGGCATACAAATAAATACTAAAACTGCATTTATTTGATACCACATTTTTATGTAATATTTGGATACACACAGATGATCAATTTTTTATATATACACACACACGCACACACACACACATACATACATTCTTTTCCTCACCCATAGTACAACTCTAAACTCAAATCTGTTACCAGTAAAGGAAAAATGTTTATTTAATATTAATATTAATATAAATTTTATCTCTTTCATTATATATCGAGCCCTATTTTTTTAGCGCCATTACATAATGTGTGATATTATATAATTAATTTTCAGGGTTTTGAGCAGACACGTATGCACAAACTTTGAGCTTTTTATATTAGATTAGTAAGGAAAACTGCAAGATAGCTTCCAGGAACATAATTTTCTGCTTTTTAATGTGTATTCATTTGGCATTTCAGGTCTGTAGAATTGTTATGCAAGAATAATGCCTACCAAATGGATCTCCATGATAGCAAATATGGTGGCTATCCTATCCATTGGGCACGAACAGAAGAGGTAAGTTATTTGGCACATTTACCTTTCTATATGAACCAGTTTTTTTGCAACATGTTGATGCATGTTAAAATCCTCACAACATTTAGTACTGTTGAAGTTATTGCTAACATTTTTGTTGAGAATTATGAGCTCTGTTGCGTTCAAGGTATCTGTAGTTGAAAGCATAAAATTGCATGCAGGATATTTAGATTTTGGCATTAAATAATCCATAGAGGTTGATATGCTGCTAAATAAATTCAACTAACTAATAACAGAGTTGCTTAGAGTTGGTTTGAGGAACATTCTGGAGATTTCTATTGAATAGTGTGGCCACTCTATATGCCTGGTCAAGCATTTATAGAATGTGGTAGAGAAGTCTATTTACATGCAAGATCATGCACTTACCAATATCAGGGACAGGGTTTGTACAGGCTTTGGAAACCTTGAAAAGTCCTGGAAAATTGACAGTACCATTTCCAGCTAAAAATTTGGAGTTGGAGCCCCTAAGGCAATTAGTTGCTGATTTCAGCCTTGTTCTGGCACCTCTTGTGATGGTACTGCTGCCAAACTGTACTGGCCCTGCTGTTCCTTTGGATCCATCAGTGACATGGAGATGGGGGACATGCTTCATACAATCCTGCCCAGCCTTGATCCTACCTTACAGATGGGTGGGATCAAATCCATGATCATTGATGACTGGTAGAGGCCTATATATATATATATATATATATATAAGAAAGAACTCTAATCTATGTAGAAAGCTACATAAAATGTGTAACATAACAAGTTCTGCATTCCTGTTGTCTTTTAGACTTCAACAGTTGAATTTCTTCACTGCTTTCAACTGATCCATGTGACATGAATTATTGGAACCAGCTGTAGCTTTTCTTTGAATATCTCATCTGTCAAACTATTAAAAGATAAATCACAAAGTTGGTATTTTTGAAATTGATGACCATTCATTGTGTGTGTGTGTACATGTGCAGCAGCTTCAGTCCTTGAAACTTAACATAGTACTTGAAAAGTCCTGTAATTTTTTTTTTTTTACACAAATCTGTGGGAACCCTGCAAAGAGGTGTGAACAGCTATCAACATGACTTAGCTGAACATCTCTCCAGAGCTCTTCTGTGACATCAATACCACATCAAGTATTAGGAAAAAATGTGTGACAAAGTGGAAGAGGATTTCTTGTGACACATTTCATCAGACTAAATTTGTTATATTGGTGTTAAATTTAAAAAAAAAAAAAAAAAAAAAATTAAATTCCCAGCATCCCTTGTTCATGAGCTTGTAACCACACTAGCATAACCAATTTAGTTTGTCACAAGAAAAACTTATCCACTTTGTTATACATCTTATCTCCAATATTGTTCTTGATATATAATATATATATATATATATATATATATATATATATATATATATATATATATTGTTATTTCATATACATACTATATATATATATATATATATATTGTTATTTCATATACATACTATATATATATATATATATCTTATTTTTATAAACATTACTTTCTGTGGGTGTATGTGTTGATTTGACACCCCCATTTTTTCTTTTCTTAAACAGTGAAATTAATATCAACCACTCTAGACTGAGAAGTCCTACTAAAAGCAAATTGTGCCTCCCGACAGGTATCAAATATGTACTCATTAAAATATTAATAGTAATATGAAATAATGTTGGATTATATATATATATATATATATATATATATATATATATATATATTTTTCTATATATATATATATATATGTTGGATTTTCTTATATATATGGTTGCTGAGAGAATGTTCACTTTCTGACCATGGGGCCCGGGTTCAAATCTCACCATGGTTGATTTGTCGGCTGGTTCTTGTGAATCTATATGATGCCAATCATGAGAGTGCAGCAACAATGCTGAGAACTTTTAAAACAAGGAAATGCTTAAAACCGGATTCTTTTCATCTATCAACGATTAGACTATCGGCTGGAGCTGGTGATGCTAAACATGAGAGTGCAACAGCAATGCTGAGAACTTTTAAAACAAGGAAATGCTTAAAACCGATTCTTTTCATCTATCAACGATTAGACTATCGGCTGGAGCTGGTGATGCTAAACATGAGAGTGCAACAGCAATGATGAGAACTTTTAAAACAAGGAAATGCTTAAAACCGGATTCTTTTCATCTATCAACGATTAGACTATCGGCTGGAGCTGGTGATGCTAAACATGAGAGTTCAACAGCAATGCTGAGAACTTTTAAAACAAGGAAATGCTTAAAACCGATTCTTTTCATCTATCAACGATTAGACTATCGGCTGGAGCTGGTGATGCTAAACATGAGAGTGCAACAGCAATGCTGAGAACTTTTAAAACAAGGAAATGCTTAAACCGGATTCTTTTCATCTATCAACGATTAGACTATCGGCTGGAGCTGGTGATGCTAAACATGAGAGTGCAACAGCAATGATGAGAACTTTAAAACAAGGAAATGCTTAAAACCGGATTCTTTTCATCTATCAACGATTAGACTATCGGCTGGAGCTGGTGATGCTAAACATGAGAGTGCAACAAAACAAGGAATGCTTCTTTTCATCTATCAACGAGAACTTTTAAAACAAGGAAATGCTTAAAACCGGATTTTTTTCATCTATCAACGATTAGACTATCGGCTGGAGCTGGTGATGCTAAACATGAGAGTGCAACAGCAATGCTGAGAACTTTTAAAACAAGGAAATGCTTAAAACCGGATTCTTTTCATCTATCAACGATTAGACTATCGGCTGGAGCTGGTGATGCTAAACATGAGAGTGCAACAGCAATGATGAGAACTTTTAAAACAAGGAAATGCTTAAAACCGATTTCTTTTCATCTATCAACGATTAGACTATCGGCTGGAGCTGGTGATGCTAAACATGAGAAAACAAAATGCAAAAGCAATGATGAGAACTTTTAAAACAAGGAAATGAGAACTTAAAACCGGATTCTTTTGGTGATACATCTATCAACGATTAGACTATCGGCTGGAGCTGGTGATGCTAAACATGAGAGTGCAAAACAGCAATGATGAGAACTTTTAAAACAAGGAAATGCTTTTAAACCGGATTCTTTTCATCTATCAACGATTAGACTATCGGCTGGAGCTGGTGCTGCTAAACATGAGAGTGCAACAGCAATGCTGAGAACTTTTAAAACAAGGAAATGCTTAAAACCGGATTCTTTTCATCTATCAACGATTAGACTATCGGCTGGAGCTGGTGATGCTAAACATGAGAGTGCAACAGCAATGCTGAGAACTTTTAAAACAAGGAAATGCTTAAAACCGGTTTCTTTTCATCTATCAACGATTAGACTATCGGCTGGAGCTGGTGATGCTAAACATGAGAGTGCAACAGCAATGCTGAGAACTTTTAAAACAAGGAAATGCTTAAAACCGGATTCTTTTCATCTATCAACGATTAGACTATCGGCTGGAGCTGGTGATGCTAAACATGAGAGTGCAACAAAACAAGCAATGCTGAGAACTTTTAAAACAAGGAAATGCTTAAAACCGGATTCTTTTCATCTATCAACGATTAGACTATCGGCTGGAGCTGGTGATGCTAAACATGAGAGAACTTTTAAAACAAAATGCAAAACAGCAATGCTGAGAACTTTTAAAACAAGGAAGGAAATGCTTAAAACCGGATTCTTTTCATCTATCAACGATTAGACTATCGGCTGGAGCTGGTGATGCTAAACATGAGAGTGCAACAGCAATGATGAGAACTTTTAAAACAAGGAAATGCTTAAAACCGGATTCTTTTCATCTATCAACGATTAGACTATCGGCTGGAGCTGGTGATGCTAAACATGAGAGTGCAACAGCAATGCTGAGAACTTTTAAAACAAGGAAATGCTTAAAACAAGGAAATGCCGGATTCTTTTCATCTATCAACGATTAGACTATCGGCTGGAGCTGGTGATGCTAAACATGAGAGTGCAACAGCAATGATGAGAACTTTAAAACAAGGAAATGCTTAAAACCGGATTCTTTTCATCTATCAACGATTAGACTATCGGCTGGAGCTGGTGATGCTAAACATGAGAGTGCAACAGCAATGATGAGAACTTTTAAAACAAGGAAATGCTTAAAACCGGATTCTTTTCATCTATCAACGATTAGACTATCGGCTGGAGCTGGTGATGCTAAACATGAGAGTGCAACAGCAGCAATGATGAGAACTTTTAAAACAAGGAAATGCTTAAAACCGGATTCTTTTCATCTATCAACGATTAGACTATCGGCTGGAGCTGGTGATGCTAAACATGAGAGTGCAACAGCAATGATGAGAACTTTTAAAACAAGGAAATGCTTAAAACCGGATTCTTTTCATCTAT